TCATTACTGCGTCAAAAAATACATTTATTTGATCATTTAAGGGTTTTATGCTACTTTGACAATTTCATTACAAAAAGTCTTTGTTGGCAAGGATTCTCAACGCAAAATAATAGTTTAAAGCGAAAGTAATAAAAATAAATGCTCATTTCTCAATCCATCTATTTGTGTAATTTAATTTTGTGTTAAAATTGTTGGTTAACTAGTAAATGTACCGAAAAGTGAAAATAGAGCTATTCATTTGTTTTACGTAAAGTTTACAATCACAATCTATCTTTTGTGATGGCTATTTATTACAATTTCTTTTTGTTTCAAAAAATGAAATGAACACAAATCACGCTTTAAAGTTACTGGCAGTGCCACATCGTAAAAAAAAAAAAAAAAAATTCTTTAGGTTAATTATCTATATTTCTCTTTTGGTTATTAACCGTGGTTAATTAACGCCCATCCCTACAGGTAACCATAATTTCTGAGAACCATTCCGCGACTCGTCCGTTCCAATAAGGTCTTAAGTCCCGGTTGTTTGAAGTTGCCGATATCACTGACGAGTTCATAGACTGAACATCTAGAGCTGAGGAGTTTTTGCTGTTCAAGGTCTTCTTTTTGCTAGAGGAAACCTTTCTTGATGGTGACAGCCGTGGTGGTGAAGTCGATTCTTGAAAAACGGAAGAAACAATATCAATAAGAAGTAATTAATAAAAAAAAAAAAAAAAAAAAAGAACAAAAAAAAAATTTACATACATCGTTAAAAATCACTAACCTATAAATACCTCCTGTTCAATTCGTTGAATTTTCTCAATCATATTAATAATTCATCCTTTAACCAATGAGACGAGATTCCAGTTTTTAGTTGCCTGGGGGGTGTGCAGATACAGTAAATCCAAGTATACCTTAAATCCTAATTCTTTGGCTTTAAAATAGACAAGACGAAATTTTATTTGAAAAAAAAAAAAAAAAACCAAGAAACTTGAAATGAAAGTTCGAAAAAATGTTCTTAATATTAAAAGGAAATATTACGATTTTCATCTTTTATGTTTAAAATTTAACAAAATTCACGTAGGAGCAGTATAAGGTTGAAGGATGTGAAAAGTATTAGGTAATGTCATGATACAATTTTTTTTTTTTTGTTACCTTACAAGATTTTGTTTTTTTGTTATTGTTTTTATTTTATTTATCCATGAGATTTTATTTTTTTCTCTCACCTTTCCCCTTGCAAATTTTTTTTCGAAAACCTCGTTTTGGGAATTTCTTGTTTGTTCCGATCAGCAAACAAAATGATAAAACAGGTAATTTCTATTGTCCGGTATTTGTACTACCGTGTTTATCTTGTGCAAAAAGGAAAGGAGTCAAGTTTATTTGGAAAAAATCGCTTTATTCATAGTATAATTACACTAATAAATGGACAAATGTTAATTCGTTTTTCAAGTATCAAACTAATGGTTTTATCGTAAGTTGATAGAGATAGAGCCTCAGACACAGCAACGAAAGTCAAGAAAAAAAAAAATGTTTTCGGCCGCTTCACAGAATTTTGCCTATTTTTTTTTTTTTGACCAATCATGAATCTTTTTTTTTTAACTGACTGGCGGTTTCAAAACATTGGTCGCTTGCTTCTGAAATGATGGGATACAACCAATCATTTCTAATATATTTATAGCAATAAAACAATTATCGCAAAACACACCTTGCATTTGGGAGAGTAATTGTGTCATGAAAGCTCGACAACGCCCATATATCTACTAATAAAGGTAATTTCTCTCGAATATTAAAAAATACAGATTATTGTTTACCCACCTCATAAACCAGATTTATTGAAAGACGACCATTTTAGCAATCTCATCAGCTCAAATGAATCTGATGCATGTGTAAACAAGAGTGGAAAAACCTTACTCATCCTTAGCATTTTCCTTCCTTATAAAGAACATTCTAGTGTTTCATACAAAAACAAAAAAAAAAAAATTCCATAAAGAGAATTTTCCATTCATCTTTTGTGCGTGTAAAAATCTAATCATGCCAACAAGAAGGAGATAACCAGTACAAAATCAATTTTGTGGTTAGTTCTTTGTTGATGCGCATGAATGAATTGCGGGATGAAATAAAGTTCATAAATTTATTGTGAAGCAAGAACCTTTTTATATAGAATTAAGGAGGAGTTCTATTACAGGAACCAATCAAATGTTGATTCACTAATTCATTATGCAATGTTGCAGAAAAATTGAGAAGAGGCCAAGAAACAGTTCTACACAATCACGTTGATTACATACCATTAAATTTGTCATGAATGTCATTCATTCATCAAACAAAGTTTGAAAATTCAACTTCCGGTTGAATTATATCATACAGAAAAAAAAAAAGGTCGTAAGATGAGCTTATTTTATTTTAAGGGTCCACATGTACAGTACAAACATTAGTACTAGATCGTCAAGAATCAATTTTCTTTGTCCTCGCCAAATTAAAAAGAGATTTATGTTACCATGCAATTTGGATTCTTCAAGAATTCGAGTCAAAGTTCACATTCGCACTTCACGAATAAGGTTGAAGGTTTATGTTGTATACTTTTGGTAGAAAATAACGTACAAACTCGATTAATCTTAGATGAACGACTCTGATATTAGACGAACGACTCTAATGTTAGAGGACTGCAAAAGTTGCCAGTTTTCTTTTTTTCTACTAAATGTTAACAAATGTTGTGATTCTAAACGATAAAAAAAGTTCAAACTACAATGAGTAAACAATCGATGCGGTGCGACCAATAAGAGTAAATTATAATATTGTCAATTATAAACAAAGCATTGCGTTTTAGCATATAAATGCCCTTTTCTACCATATGTTTTGAAATGTTAAAAAAAAAAAAAAAAAAAAATAAAAACAAAAAAAAAACGATCATGGGTAATGGAATTTCATCACGAAGGCGCCCAATATCTAGATTAATTAGGAGGAGGAATATCAAACCATCTACTGATTCTATTGAAAGTGTAGCAGAAGAGATAAATGGGATCGACAAAATAAAAAGTTTCCAATGTTATTTCAATCATGAAGAAAATCACAGACAACATGATCATCATTTTTTAAAAAAGCATCTATTTAAAAGCGAGATTTCTTGTCCTATCAAGGATAAGTTAATTAAGGGTAAAGGTTGTAAAATCATAGACCTTGGGTGAGTAAATTTTTTCTTTTTTTAAAAAAAGTGTTGATAATGATAATGATAAAATAGCGCATTACAAACCATTTATTAACTCTCACTCTCGATAGGTGCGGGGCTTCGACTTTTTTGTTAGATCTTGCTGCACAATATCCAAATAGTAGATTCCTCGGTGTTGATGTTGAAACGACGTTTCCAAGAGAGGTATTAACAAACAAAGTTCTTTTAACTAATAAAAAAAAAGGGTTATATATTTGAAAAGATGATAACCTTTTATGTCTCCCTTAATTCTAAATAGATCAAGCCTAAAAATTTGGAATTTAAGTTAGTAGATATTATTCAAGGGCTACCATTTCCCGATAATGTATTTGACCTTGTACATATTGAAACAACATTATTCACAATTCCATCGGTCCATTTAAATTTCATTATCGGAGAAATGATAAGAATTTGTAAACCAAATGGTTACATTGAATTTTGTGAATCCATTTACCATAAAGGTATAGGTGAAAAATTTGGAAAACTTTTACGCGGATGTAAGTACTTTTAACCTTTCTTTTTTTTTTTTTTTAAAAAAAAAAAAACCATAAAAATAAAAATAAGAATAACACAAAAAATATATATATATATATATATTTTTCTTTTCATTAATTTTTTATTAGTCGAATTGGTATCAAATTTATATGAAACGGATATGCATATAGCATTAAACTTACCTCATATGTTAAGCGTGGTACCGAATATTAAAAATATAAAGATTGAGGATCGATCAATAGTTGTAGGTAAGAATGGTGGAAGAGTGGGCGTAGTAATGCAAAATATACTTAGTTGGTTTAATAATTCAAATGAATTATTTGTTAATGACGTATGCAATCAATTAAATTTAACGAAGGAGCAGTACGATCGATTAGTGGTAGATGCTTTTAATGAATTAAATGTTACTTTTTCTGAATTGATGTTTCGTAGGATTTACGCTCAAAAATCGAGTTGTTGATATGTATTAAAATTTTTAAAATTTTGTATCCCCCACATATTTTTCTAGTTTAATTTTAATTTTAGTATTTAGGTATGACTTCGGATTAAATAAAAAAAAAATAAAAAGAAAAAAAGGGATTTGTTAGTCAAACCTTTTTTTTTTTTTTTTTTTTTGATATTTTGGATCAAACAAAATTTCACCTAAAATAGATAATCCTAGCTCCGATGGAATACAGAACAATTAACCAAACAGATTAGCAATTCGCATTGGCGGAATTTCGTTTTTACCTTTAAAATAAAACAATATTAAGAACTCCGATGAAAATTCTACATAATAATACAGTTAAATATATCAATATAACCGGATTTATTCTTAATGAACGATTATCATAGCAATGATCGACGGTGCCATGGAATACTGTGAACGCGTTTTTAGAATAATAAAACCGACAGAAACGGTAAATCAATGATTTTGTGTAATGATGGCGTATAATGAAACACGACTTTCTTACTAAATGAATTTGACAGGATGATATCTTGTAACGCTATTTAGGATAAATTTTAATATTTTAAGAATTTTAACGGAATAAAAAATATTACACTAAAAAATAATAATGAATTGTGGTACTTGGGAAAAAGTATTTTGTTGAAAGAGTAATTGCTGTTATTTAAAAAAATCACTTCTTTCTAATAAAATGAAATGTCAAATTTAAAAAACTTGGTCTCCCATATATGTTAACTGGTAGTATCATTGGTTCCAACCTTTTTTTTGGTGATTATTTCCGATTCGGTTTATTAAATCGATTCTTAACTACTTTATATAACCTCCTTTTTTTCTCAGACGCGATATAAAAATTTCTCTGTTTTCAATATCATAACAATAAACAATATGGGAAATAAGGGGTCATCACGACGAAATCCAAAATCAAAATTATCAACTGCAAATGTAAAAGAAATAGTCCCCGAAACAAAAGATTTCAAATATTATTTTAATAATGATGATAATATTCATCGACAACATGATCTTTACTTTTTGAAAAAACATATATTTGATTGCGGGATTTCTTCTCCTATTAAAGAAAAGTTAATTACAGGTTGCAAGGTCTTGGATCTTGGGTGTGTATATAAATATATTTTTTTTCAGAAAAAAAAAAAAATTTGTTCCGTATAAATAAATTTTTTTTTGAAATGCGGTAGATGCGGACCTGCCACCTTTTTATTAGATCTTGCTGTACAATACCCAGATAGTAATTTCTTAGGGGTCGACATCGAACCACTCTTTCCAAGTGAGGTAATAATGAATAAAATCCTTTAAATTACATATATACGTACAGTGTACTGTAAGATTTAAATCTCCTTAATTTCCAAATAGATCAAACCTAAAAATTTGAAATTTAAGATAATTGATATCCTCCAAAGACTACCATTTCCCGATAATGAATTTGATCTCGTGCATACAGCGGCGGTATTATATTTACTCCCATCGGAAAAAATAGATTTCCTTATAAACGAAATGATTAGAATAACTAAACCAAACGGGTACATTGAATTTTGTGAATCCATCCTCAACAACCAATCTAAAGGCATAGGGGAAAAATTCGGTCACCTTTTACACGGATGTAAGTAATGACTTTTTTTTTTTCACTCTTTTTTTAATTATTTTTTTTTTAACTTGCTTTCGTTAACTTTATTAGACGGATTGGTATCGAAATTGCATAAAGCGGACATAAAAGTAGTGGTAAAATTGTCTCAAATGTTAGCCGCAAAATCCAATGTTAACAAGATCTCTGTTAAGGATAAGTTGTTGGTCGTAGGCAAAAATGGCGGAAATTTGGGCATAATAATGCAAGACATACTTACTTGGTTTAATAATTCGAGCGAGTTATTTGTCGTTGATATTTGCAAACAATTAAATTTAACGAAAAAGCAGTATGATCAGTTAGTAGTAGATGCTTTTAATGAATTGAATTTCACTTGTCCTAGAATGACTTTACGTAGAGTTTTCGCGCAAAAAACACCAGGCTAACGATTGAGGTAATTAAAATTTATTCGATAATTTTTTTTTTTTTTGTTTTATTTTATTTTATTTATTTAATTATTTTTATTCTCTTTGATTATCTTTTGGCATTGGTCTGATTCAGAAAATGGATTAATCAATTATAAAAAAATTTTTTTCGATAGTTAACTACAATTTCATAAAATCATTAGTGCAAAGTAACGAAAAGTATTGAAAAAGAAACTAACGCAGTCAAAACAACTTTATTTTTGTACACAAAAATATTACACAATTTTGTTTGACAAACTTTATAAATTTTATCATACAAATATTATCTTTATTTTGTTTTACCCGAGAACGTGTTACTAAAAGTAGTAATTTTTTGAATTTTGACTATCCCCAAATTTGTACAAGTTTTATTTATTTGTTTATATAGCATTCTTTGTTAAAAGAAACCGTGTTTTCAAATTAATCATGCAGCAATTGTAAATTCGAGTTACATAAATAGGATAAATTTTAATAATATTTTCCGATGTTTTTTTTTTTTTGATCCGAATCTAATGGCGTCAAACAATCGTCAAACAATCCTGTACATAAACATAATTGCACGTTTTTTTATACATCATGAATTTCTTTTAAACCCTTTTTTTTCCTGATAACATGGGAAATAATAAGTCAACAGAAAGGTATTCGTCATCTAAATCGATCAGCAAGGATCAAATCTTTATTCTTCTATCAACGCTGCAATTAGCAATGTAGGTGATGAAATAAATGAGATAAAAATAAATGATATTGATAATTACAATAGCGAGAATAATGTTCACAGAAAACATAACCATCATTTCCTAAAAAAACATTTATTTCAATGTGAGGTTTCTTCACTTATTAAAGAAAAATTAATTACAGGTTGTAAGGTCTTGGATCTTGGTGTGTATTTTTTTTTTCATTTCATTTCTTTTTTTGTTAAATTCATTTATTTAATAAGAAGGTTATGATTCCTTTTCAGTTGCGGTCCCGCCACCTTATTATTAGATCTTGCAGCGCAATATCCGAATAGTTAATTTATCGGAGTCGATATTGAACCAACATTTCCAAATGAGGTATATATTTTTTTTCTTCTGAATAAGTAACTATTCTATTTATTATATTATTTACCCTTTGATTTTGAAATAGATAAAGCCTAAAAATTTGGAATTTATGATTGCAGACATATTTCAAAGGGTACCATTCCCTGATAATGAATTTGATCAGATTCAGTATTATGTTCAACAATATCAGCGAAAATAGAGTTTATTCTAAACGAAATGGTAAGAGTATCAAAACCAAATGGTTGCATTGAAGTTGGTGAAACGTTTATTTACAAAGGTATGGGGGAAAATTGAGCTATATTTTACATGGACGTAAGTATAAATCTTCTTTTTAATTAATTAAAAAATAAAAAGATTAAATGCTTTTACAAGAAAATTGATTCTTTTTTTTCATTAGTTGACTTAGTATCAGGATTATATGGGGTAGAAAAGTTCATAGGATTAAAATTACCAGATATAGTAACCAAGATACCGAATATTAAAAATATAAATGTTGAAGATAGAGCGGTTGTGATAGGTAAAAACGGAGAAAATTAGGTATGATATCAAAAGACTTGCTTGCTTGGTTTAATGATGAAAATTCGGGCAATTTCTTTGTCAAGGAGGTTTGTGAACAATTAAAATTAACCAAGGATCAGTATCATCAGTTGTTAGAGGATATTTATAATGAACTAGAATGTACATCCCCTGAAATGACTTTTCGTAGGGTACATGCCCAAAAGATAAGTTAATCGCGCATGAATATATACGGTACATTTTTTTAATCCTATCTCGTTTTTATCTCGAGTTTGTACATGTAAATCTTGCTCTAAATTCCAACCGAAATTATCATTTCGATCCGAATAAATTTTAAAAAAATAAAATGAATAATTTCAACAATAAAATCTTGTTATTGAGTGTTTTATTTATTATGAAAAGTTTTCTCCAAAAAATTAATTATCTTTGCTGTTTAAAATAAATCCATTGCGGTATGGTTAAAAAAGAGATTTAGGTTATTGGGCGCAAATCACAATCTATCTTGTAAAACTTCAATATCTTTAACGTATTTGGAAATCATACTTTCAACTTTTCGAATACTTGACTGCTTTTCATTAATCCTTTCCTCTAGTTCTGACCTTTTCTTTATTTTGTCTTTTAATTCATTGATTAACTCATCCTCTTCTTTTTTATTTAAACTTTGGTTATCTTTTTTTTTCAGCTCATTTTGCAATTGGACTTTCTGCGTTAAAATTTGAAGCAGTTTCAGCGTTTTTTGTTCCAATAATTGTTTTGCTTCATGACTTGCCAACTTCGTCAAGGCCCTCTCTTGGCAAGCTCTGCGACTTAGTGAACGAAGTCTGATAAAGTCTTTACAGAACTTCAAAGACAATTTCATACCGTCTTGTTCTTCATTATCAACCCCTCCTCCATATCTTTTGGTTCTTTCCTTAATCTCATGAATTATGTTGTGTAATTCAATCAGATGAGGCAATTTTACCCCTGAACCATTTGTAAATTTCTCATCTTCAAGTTGTTTACTAGGTAACAAGTTTGAAAATATCTCTTCATCATTATGGTTATTTTCATCATTTATCGGTGAAACGGCTGGACTCATTTCCATATCTTGCAATTCTTCATCTTCGTTATCGACATAATCTTTCTTCTTATCGTCATCGTAATGATTTCTGTGAACCTTATCCTGATCTTCCTCTCTCATCGTTTCAACAGTTGTGATAAGGGTATTATTATTTGTTGGACCCGTAGGTGGATCTATTTGTGCAACCATTGAAGGTAAAAAAAAAAAAAAATAAAAAAATAATAATAATACCAGGATGTGGGCAAAAGTTTGATAATGATATGATCGCAATTTCTCTTGAACATGAAAAGAAATATCCTCCTTTTCCTGAAAAAAAAAAAAAAAAATAATTATAGTATGACATAATTATTCTTAATTTTCAAGGTCCTGAATTTTTTAAAATCATTGATTTAATCAAATCACCCTAAAATTGACAATATCACTTACTTTTAACAAAATACTTTTTTTGAAAAAAAAAAAAAAAATGGTACCCTATTAAATGGAGATTAGTAAAAATTTTAAACAATTATTGCAAAGCCAACACTTTGCTTGGCCAAAAGTGCGAAAAACATCACAAAAATGATGGTACATATATTTATTTGTATTGTATTTGTAAACCACTAACGGAATCCCGTGTTGATTGATCATTATATATATCTCTTTATTGATTTCAGTAAAAATAGTACAAATTTAATGACTACCAAAAGGTAAATAATCTGCGGCAACATAATCAGTCGATAATTTTTTCTAGGAGTTTCAAAAATTTGCTGCGACTAATCGGTTAGAACTTATCGTGCTGCGGTATGCAAAAAAAAACTCATCATATGCTCATTACAATGATCAGGGTCCTGAACATAATTTTTGACTTTCACACGCTGGAAACAGTTCTTCCTCAAAAGGAGCAGCCTTTTGCAGGAATAAGAACTTCCAAATTAAGGATATATTTATTATGTAGGACGAAATACTTCATGATCAACTTGAATTATAAAAAGGCATCAACCTCAAAAGAATTTTGAATTTACTCGTCATAATAATAAAAAAAAAGAAAAGTCACATCAATTAAATTCGTTACGAGTTAAAACTCTTTAATATGACCCATCAACCTCAAAAATTGTTGAAAGATATTGATCCCGCAAAAGTTCAAAAATTCAAAGGGTTATTCAATGCAGAAGTTACCGAGTTGTTGATGGAGGGAGATGAGGGATACGAAAAAAGTTTAACAAGATGGTCCGATAATGCGATAAAAAGGGCGGGAATCGTTGTTCAAGCAACTTGTCTTGATGACATTGTCAAAACCGTTAAATTTGTCGGTCAAAATAATTTGGATTTTGCCGTATGTGGAGGTGGACATTCAACATCCGGTAATTCAAGCTCTGAGGGAGGAGTTGTGTTAAACATGAGGAAATTAAATAAAGTAAGGGTTGACGTTGAAAAGAAATTAATTTATGCTCAAGGAGGAGCCCTTTTCGGTGAAGTCGATAGGGAAGCCTGGAAATATGGATTGGCAACGGTTGGGGGTACGGTTGAACATACTGGCATTGGTGGATTGTCGATAGGAGGCGGATTCGGTTACTTGACGGGTCGACACGGGTTAACGGTTGATAATGTGGTAGGTGCAACGTTAGTTACTGCGGATGGACAAGTAAAAGAATTATCGGAAACCGTAAATGAAGATTTGTTTTGGGCAATTCGAGGGGGGGGACCAAACTTTGGCGTCGTTTATGAATTTATTTATAAAGCGCATGAACAAAGAGAGGTTTGCTTTGGTGTCTTAATATACCCTGGCGAAAAGTTAAAATTAATTGTAGATGCTGTTAATGAATCGCTTAAAGAAAATGCTGGACCTGATCATTCCATCTCCATTATTTTTAATAGACCTCCTCCAGAGTTTCGGGTATGATATTTTTTTTAACTTTGCCAAATCTTTTTGATGTTTATTATTTTCTGACTCGTTTTATTCCTCTTTCTTCCCACCTCACCTTTTAAATTTAAATCAGCCTGTTATAATGCTTTTGTTATTTTCCAATGACCCATCTGAACAAGTCTTTCGGGAAAGGTTCTCAACAATTTATAAATATGGTGAATATGTTAAGGAAATAGTAGAATGCATACCGTATCCAAAGTTGAATACACCCGCAAATGCGGCTGCAGCGTTTGGGGATCGTAAGGCACTTCGTGATGCTCACATTTCAACTTTAACTTATTCAACAGCTTACAAAGTTTACGATTCTTACGTGAAATTCACTAATGAAAATCCATCAACTGGTAAATCAGTAATAATGTTTGAACTTTACTCTTATGAAAAATTTGCTTCAATCCCTTCAAAGGCCACCGCATTCGCACATCGTAAACCTTTTTATAACGTCGTGATATTACAACGTTGGATCAATGAAGAGGATGATCCCATCGTTTATAATTGGGCTAAAAATTTGCAAGAAATTATAAATTTGGACGGTGATGGTGATGAATCCATTTACATTAATTTTGAAAATTTTACTGAAGGAATAGATTATAAAGGCGAGAAATTACAAAGGGTCTATGGTGAAAATTTAGTAAGGTTGAAAGAATTGAAAAGAAAATATGACCCTAATGTTCTCTTTAGGAAAGGCACAATTATCTGGCCATGAATTTTTATTTTTATTTTTTTTTTTTAAAGATTATGGATTTGATATTCTTTATCATTATCATTTGTTATTTTACATAACATGTAAACATTTATAATCGGTTGAAAATTTGATCATATACATTATACATAAACATCTTTTCAGATTTTAGACGCTTACATGCAATTAATGGAAATGTTTTTCATTATTAATATTATCTTTTACAAAAAGAAAAAAAAAGTCTTAATACTGTGTAATCTCCCACATCAGCATTCCGAACAAACCTTTAATAATACATCTCAATCATGATTAATAATACATGAAAATTGTTAAATGAACAAAAGGTGGTTGTCATTTCATATAAGTATCAACGATCAAAAGGAATTCTATTTAAACTATCTGAATTTCGAACGAAACCTTTAGTTCTATTTATTATTATTCGATTCCTTGATTTATAAAACCTTATAATACCCGCGGCATAGGAATAAATGGTCATTTCAAAAACTCAAAATGAAAATGTCATCATAAAAAATTTACCGATTCTAACTTTACAGTAAACAATAATTAAAACAATTGATTTTTTCTTTTGATTTAAATTAGAGAACGCGCTTTTTTAGAATAAAAGATTTTTTAATTTTATACATTAGATTTACTTATTAATTTAATACCTCTTTTTATTCTTTTCCAACGATCTGACTTTAACTGTCAAATACAACCTAACAGTCTTACCAAATATTGCCGATAATTTTGTTGCAGCTCTCACTCCAATAGTTTTTATTACTGTACCATTTGCTCCTATTAATATTCTCTGATATCAGGAAAAAAAAAAAAATTTTTTTAATACAAGAGGATTTATTAATAAAAAGAACAATATATTTTATCACCTGTTGCGAAGGATTGTCGGTATAGATATTTTGATCTATCCTTAAAATATTATTTGGTAAATCGGTCCATCCAACGTTTTCCTATTCATAAAGGAAAATAAATCTCCCATTGATTATTTTCTTTAAAAGCGATTCTTTTTTTCTCAACTCACCTGTCTCACGACATAAGGCAAATGATCACGTAATCTTTCAAAAATTTCTGCTCTAATGAAATCTTCAACGCGTTTCATCTCTGCCATATCAATCCTATGATCTGGTGGACAAATCCAATCATGAGGGTACGCGTTGGAGAATAATATTTCCTTCATAATCATTATTCGTACACACAAAAAGGTTTTGTATTAATATAATTTCGTATAAATGATACAAATCCTAATTCCTTACCTTCAAATTTGCTATCCCATTCCGTTTCAACGCGCTTATGCTCGTTTTATCTTTAAAATAAGGGTATTGTGACGTGAATTTTTTATAAATATACGGTATCGATTCCTTTTCATTGGATAACAAATCAATCTGTCCAAAGAAAAAAGAGAATAAATAAATAAATTATATATATAATATATAGTTAGCCTTATTTGAAATTGTCATATTAGGAATGGTAACTTACCTTATTCAATACCAACGTTCCTGGTAATTTATATTCCGTTAGCCTATCCAATAACCAACTTTCTGCGTATGTAGTACGATATAACGCCCTGAACGCGTCGATTATTACCAACACTTGTTTAAAAGAAGTTGTTGACAAAAAATTCTAAAAAAATATTCTGGAGTTACTTTATTCAAAACATTTAATTACCATGATCAGCTTCCTGTATTGAATGCCATGATGCATTAATCAACCCACGGTTCAATTTTGGACGATTATGCCCTGGCACGATTCCAGGTGTATCGATAAATACCTAACTTAAATAATCGATTAGAATGATCATCAAACGATTTCTTCACCTAAACGATATTCGCTCACTTACTAATTGCTTATTCTCTTCGGTAAATACCACAGAAATTCTTTCCCTCGTTGTATGCGCTTTATTCGAAACCACTGATATTGTTTCACCAAATAGTGCATTCAACATTGTAGATTTTCCTGCATTAGGAGTTCCCAAAACTACAACCTTTAATAAATATGGATTTTCCGGTTGTTCAAACCGTTCCTTTTGAAACTTTGGTAGCCTAGTTTCAATACCTAATCAAATAATAATAATAATAATAATAACAATTTTGAAATCTTAATAAACATTAGAAACGAATCGTGTAACAATAATTAAAACGAACTTACTTGCCGATTTAATTGGAACTTGGAAAATTTGAATTCGTGATTTCACTTCTGGTAAGGACGTCAACGATGATGTTGAAGTCGACTTTTTAATTGTATTCGATTCTTTATTTGCATCATCAACGTTCATTAAATTGCCCTTATCCTCCTTTTGTTTAAAATCCTTACTTGACTTCTCATCACTACACTTAACGGCATCTTCACCCACATTATCGAAATCCATCTTTTTTATCCCTTTCTGTGATTTCTTGTTCAATGCCTCAACGTTTGATGTAAGTGGTATTCTAGACTCAAACCTTGATAATTTTCTTGATGATTTTAGATTTTTCGGTACGATTATCTTTTTAATAGGTTGTATCGATTTTGATGAAGAAGGTGAAATTGATGAGCGCTTGTTTGATTTTATGATCGAATCATCTTTAGGTGGTGGCAATCCCGCTAATCTTCGCGCTCGTGACATAATTGAATAATTTCGATAATAAAATGAATGCTTCCACCGAAGAGAAATTTGTGTCGGATACACTAAAGAACTAGAATTGAGAACTGAATGTTATTTAAATATATGAAATCAAAAAAAAATAATCAAAAAGTGATGTATTAACCGAATGAGGTTTTTCTTTATCAAATCCATTTTTGTATCAGGTTTGAAATTTTTTATTGATAACATTGAAGGAGCTAGGGTGTCAGGAATATCTGACGCGAATAAATGTGCATAATTAAAAGATTTTTTTACATATGAAACCGGAATATGTCGCATGTAGATCATTTCAAAATTAAAAAAAATCGTGTAACTACAGAACACAAAATTCAAATTGCTATTTTTTAATACAAAATATCATAGGTTAACTTAAACTACAATTATATAATTAATATCAATAGAGTAATAATTTAAAGTTGAATATTTTACTATTAAATTAAATATTTTGTAGATCATCAGAAACCCTTAGATATGATTTAATATATAAATGATTTGATTTGAATAGTATAATTATATAAATTTTATCAGAAACTAATATTGTTATTAAAAGAAAGAAACGGAAGGAAAATTAAAAAAAGAATTGGAAAGTTAAGGAATACACTCTTATTATATAATAAAATAATCAAATAATTAATATTAAAGAGGACCGTCAAAAGTTCCTAAACGCTTTTTGGCTCAATAAATCATTTAAATTTTTTAAAATTTAATTAAAAAATTATTAAATATTTATTAAAATAACATAGAAAATAAATTTGTATTAATTAATTAGTACTTGATCGGGTCTCCATTTGTTTCAATTACAGCTTGAATTCATTGTGACATACTATTGACCAAATTTTCGATAGTATATATAACAATTTCTCTTTATAACTTCTTAATTATTCGCTCTAGTTCAGCAATGTTAAAAGATATTTTTTTCCTTTCATAGATGTTTTATTGATATCAGCCTACAGATTTTTGATTGGGTTAATATCTAAACTTGAGCGGGTTATGAAAAAACGTGCATATCATTTTTTACATGAAAATTCTTCGCCTACTTTATTTGTGAGCTGAGCATTATCCCCCTAAAAACTACCATTACAATTTAGAAATGCATTTTAAAATACAATTCATGTAATTAATATTTGAAACATTATATGATCGCAGAATTTCTAAGTTATATGAAATTGTCAATATTGAATCACATCTAAAAAGTATTATTCAGAGACTTTTAATAATCTTCTGTAATATCTAAATTATATTACTAATCTTATTAATATAATTTAACTTTAATATTATAACCTAATCCTAATATTATATTACTAATTGTAAATACTATGCTATAAGATATATAGTCAGCTTTCTTAACTCTAACCTATCTTCTAATATAATTATATTTAATTGATTAAAACTTTTTAAGTTTTAAAAGATTTTATTATTAATTTGTATAATTTTAAAATACTGATGTAATTGTTAAAACCTGTATTTACAAATATATAATATTTTAATTTGATAGCTTTAATAAGAGCTATTCTACTTAATATATTTTTGCTACTTACTATTAAGAAAATTTATTTTACAAATTAAATTTTTATATTTTTTATATTATTTTTCTTCTTTTCATATCATTAATTTTTCTATTATTTCATATTTCTTATTATTTTCCTTTTCAAAATATTTCATAATATTTCTCTTCATCATTTTAATATATTATTTTTCATCAAATTTATTCTTTATATTAGATGTGATTCCTTATTATTCTTCATTATTGTTATTATTATCATTATTATCTTTTCTATTATTATTTTTCATTTTTATTACTATTATCAACATTGAAAATTTTCCTAGGAAAATAATTTATGAAAAATCATTAGATTATTTCATATAGATTATATTAAGGAAAATTTTATTTTACATCATCAAAATTGATTAACATATTGCATTAGAAAATCAGACAAATTTATCTAATTTATAAGATTTATAAAATTCACCTGTTTCTTTTGTTTTTTTTTTATATTTTCTATACAGTTTGTTTATTTTATTTATTCAGTTTTACCTATAATTTCTTTAATGTTTATAATTTATTTTATTTTATTTTATTATTTTATTATGTTTAAATATATTTTTATTGAAATATATATCTATATTTAATTAATTTATAGTATAGCTTATAACAAATTAATTTTATATAAATAGAATAACTTTTTGCTCAAGTTGTAAATTAACTTATTTATAAGTTTTATACAAGTTTTAAATTGTTAATAAAGGAATTAATTTAAATCTATACAAATTACTTTTTTTTTAAATATTGTTGCTCATCTAGAATTTATTATAATACCTTATGTTCACTTACTATTGAGTTTATCATTATGAATTCAAATAAATATATTTTAAATTCTATGACGTAATAAATTGCTGAGTTGATTCAAGTATAATAGATACTTATAGAACTTAGAGAAAATTCTAAGGCAGAAACTTTAACATGTAGAATCAATTATCGCAGCCTTTTAACTTAGATATTAAGATAATTGAAAATGAATCCAATAATACTATTATTATTGTCAATTTTATTCTTATTAAATTATTCTTTATAGTATTATATTTTTTTGTAATTCTCAATATTAGTTCTAATTCTTGTTATCATTCTTTATTTTTCTTTTATTGTTGTTTTTATTATTATTTTATCTATTTTTGTTATTTCTATTATTTTTTTATTTATTATTATTATTTCTATTATTCATCTTTATTTATTATTATTATTCTCAATATTCATTTTCATTATATTTTCATTAAGTATTTCTTTTAGATATTATTTTTTTTCTATCTCATTATAATATTTTTTCTTTTTTTTATTGTATTTTTTTTTTTTTTTTTTTTTTTTTTTTTTTTTCTTTATTTTTTTTTATTATTTTAATTTAATTTTTTTTTTTTTCTTATTTTTATTTT